TTTATCCTTGAGTACCATTGATTCTCTAATGGACAGTGATTCATAAAACACATTCATGAATCGGAGCTCCTACTGGTCCAAGTACCGAATCAACCCTCAAGAGAATTATTTATCTACTTCTTTGTTAAGAAGGAATGGATTCCATCTCGTGTAATAACATTCTCGGCTACCTATTTTATCATGTCTCTAAAATACAAGGAATATGATTCAGGATCTCAGAATTCATACCGAGTAAATCAAAAGACACAAATCCATAAATAGGAGTCTGTTAAGAACTCATGATTAAGACCATCCTATATATGACCATCGATAGACTCAATTAGAATTTCTATACTTAACGGAATTATTAGAAATTCATATTGTGTACGTGTCCTTGTTCCACATAATCTCATTATGCGAAAAACACTCATTCAATATCTCACCATATTAACAGTGCGGATAACACCGTTCCATTCTAAATGGGAATGACATGTATTAGTAATGTTTTAATTAAATATTCATAACTTTAATTAAATTCATTATGAACATTGCTTTTTGATTATTATCCTTAAACATTATCCTCTCGTATATAACACTTATATACAATGTTTAAGGTTACATAAATAATCATGGAATTTTCATTGATATTCATAAAATATTCATAAATATATGCACATAAAATAATGAATAAACTCATTTATTAAATAAATAATTAATATCCTATTACATCTCATGCTTCTAGGACACCATTCCAAACAGAAACTGTAATCAAGGGCAGGTCAGTGGAGACATGATCAGTGGTGGTAGTATTTCGTCTGGGAGTGACATGAGTGCTCCTTACCGACCAAAGTGCCATCACTATGGCCAAATTGGACATATTAGGAGGAACTGTCCTAATCAGAATCAGCCGCCGACTCAACAGCCCCAGAGTGATGCTTCTTATGGTCAAGAGAGGCCACCACAGTTCATGCCACCCTACCAGCTGCAGCTGTAAATGCCAACATTTTACCCTCCTGCGCTAGCCTACCGACTGCCTCAGTATCCACAGTTTTGACCTTAAGCGTCGGGACCAGTGCAGATACCTCTGCCACAATAGTGCAGGCCATCGACCCAAAGGCCTAATGTTAGTGATAAAAAGAAGGGAAAAGTGCAAGGACAAGCTTATACCCTGACAGGAGGCAGTTGTGGGGGTTAGGCCAGTAATACGGTGGTTAAAGGTACAATTCTAATATCTCATTCTCTAGCACATGTTCTGTTTGATACTGGTGCTACTCATTCTTTCATTTCAAGTTCTTTTGTCCAAACTTTGAAATTAAAAGCCGAGAGCATGGAAAATCTAATGATGTTGAACTCCCCACTGGGATGTGTGGAGGTAGCTAGTGTCTGCAGATCGTGTGAAATCACGATT